CTGCAGAGACAGACTCTTTACTGGCTTTTTCATATTAAAGTCTAAGTTCTTGGTGATTTTAGGGAAACTTCATAAGCTAGAACCCAGATAGCACACAGAAACTCCAGCAATCTTCAGCTGCTGTCTGCCTCTTTTATGATTAGGTCTTAAACAATGGATCTGCTCACTCTTCTTCAGAGTTTCTATTCCAAGCGGTCTTCGGCTGTTTCCTGCTTTGATTCCCCCACTAGACTAAGTGCCACGAATGAAGGGACCAGTGCTGTGGTCACTGTCCCTGTGCCTGATGCCATGTGGTAGGTACTCAGTAGATGTACATCAAGTGGTTTCAAGAAGATGCACAAAGATGATCAGCATCAATCTGCAACCTACTTAGTGAACATACAGATAAGTTAATACCTCAGATCTGGGGAAGTCTTTAAGAAAATGAAAGATTAGAGGCAGTCTATAAAATAGAAACCCTGTTTACTCACAGTATGTGGGAGAACTATTAAGTTCTGACATGTGATGTAATCACAAATGCTGTCTATCGCCAAGGCTTTGTTAGGTCCCTTGCTTGGCAAATTGCAAGTCCCCCCATCCCCACCACCATGTCTATATACATAAAGGCTACCCGGATGCCCCCCAAGTTGGCAAAATCAGCTGTTCTAGCCAGAGGCTCTATCTTACAGTTTCCAGCATCTCTAAACTACAAAGTAGGCAAAGGATCTCTAAGCAAGCATTGCAACGTTTCTAACAGAATCTCCACACTTACCCTCACAGGACCTAGCAGGCATTATCTTGCTTAGAGACCCAAAATAACTATTGGGGCCAGGTGCAGTGGCTCACATCTGTAATTCCAGCACTTTGGGAGGCCGGGTGGATCACGAGGTCAGGAGATCGAGACCATCCTGGCTAACAAGGTGAAACCCCGTCTCTACTAAAAACACAAAAAAAGTAGCAGGGCATGGTGGTGGGTGCCTGTAGTCCCAGCTACTCGGGAGGCTGAGGCAGAATAGTGTGAACCCGGGAGGCGGAGCTTGCAGTGAGCCGAGATAGCACCACTGCACTCCAGCCTGGGCAACAGAGCAAGACTCCGTCTCAAAAACAAACAAACAAACAAAAAACTATTGGGCCAAGCTTTCCTAGGAGACTTCACTCAATGGGAAAAGTACGCTAAATTTATGGTACAGGTTGAGCATCCCTAATCCACAATCTGAAATGCTCCAAAACCCAAAACTTTGAGTGCTAACATGATGCCATAAGTGGAAATTCCACACTTGACATCATATGACAAGTTGCAGTCAAAACTTTGTTTCTTGTATAAAATCATTAAAAATATTCTATAAAATTACCTTCAGGCTACGTGTATAAGGTGCATGTGAAATATAAATGAATTTCACGTTTAGACTTGGGTCCCATCCCCAAGATACCTTATGTATGTGTGAATGTCCCAAAATCTGAAAAAATCTAAAATCTGTGGAACCCTTCTGTTTTCAAGTATTTCAGATACGGGACACCCAACCTGTGTTATCACCTGCCATCTCATTTGGTTCCTGCAGTGTGGTTAGTGTATCTAACTAAGTGGTATTAACAGTGTTTAGAGTTTTTGTTGCAAGCCAATAGAAGAACTTAGCAAAGAGACACTGATTTAGTTTGAAAAATGCAGAGAGTAAAATTGAGATGATTTTTACTTAAAAGCCAGATTCTCCTATAGCTAGGTTAGACTCTGCCCCAGCTCTTCAGAAGAACTGTCAGTCCTCAGATTTTCTAGCCCAAAACTCTTAGGTGGCAGAAAAATTTGTCCCAAATTGTCCCTGGACTACTTACTTCTGCTTAACAAGTCTATCTCGCCCATAATCTCAGTAGACGGTATTTTTGGACTGTTTGCCTTGAAAGTAGTCTATCATGCTGTTGTCCAAGTAGTCTTTTGAGATTAATTAATTAGTAGGGACAAAACTAAGCAATTTTGAATTTAATCAACCAACCATGAAGAGGGCAGTTGTATTAGCCACCACAAGGAGCTCCCTAAGGCAGGCACATTTACGATGAACATCACTATAGACCTCATCAAGCCCTTTAATGCATTAATTTCTTAGGCTAGTACATGAAGGTGGTTTTCCAAATGAAAGTCAGTATCCAAAGTGAATGCAATCATTACTTTAAGTCATGTAGGCAACTGCCTCGTTTTAAGCACTTTTCCATGCACTGAAAAGAACGACTTTATTTACATTCTGTGAGAAATAGAAAATGGGCTAGATATTTAAAATGAATTCTATGCTGTGTGCCAAGTCTTCAAGGTTTGGGATCAAAACCTGAAGCCATACGGCTGGGTACTATCTGTTCCCTTGATCTTATGGTCATGTTCTACTCTAGGAGTCCTTGTTAAGTATCATCAGTTTGTTACCTCTCCTGGAGCAGAAGAGGCTTGTAACAACTTTTTTCCTCTTCCAAAATTGTAATAAAACTAGCCAAGTCAAGTCAAGTTTATGGTTATTCAATTTTATGACAGGTAGAGACACTTGGATCAGGTCTTCACTTCTTTTGAGCATGGAGGCTGTCACCTTTGCTAGCAACATTTAGTGTTAAATAGCAGTCTATTGTACTAAAGTCTTAATATTGGCAGCTCTACTTGACCTTTATACATGCTTTAGGTATCTGGGGACTCAGGCCATAAAAGCAAACAATCAAAACGACACAGGACAGGCACTATAGGTAAATGCCACATAAAGTGGGCAAGAGGGTGATTCAGGGAACAAAGCTACACTAGGTTTCAAGAAGCTGTTACTGCCAAGAAGGGCTTGGCTGGTGACCTTCCTTTACACAGTCCTTGCTCACATGAGTGATCAGGTTTTGATAAGGGTTACTATCGTCATACCTTCATTGGCAGTATGTGGATGAGCCAAGTTTACTTTCCATGCCTTCCAGTTTCTTCCCTCCAGGTCTATTACTACCACCAGTAACACCAACCCACTTCTCACAGTGAGGGAAGTTTCCTTCTACTCTTAGCCTAGTTGCTAGCCATATATGAATAGCTCTCACAAAACCTTGGTTTTTTAAGACTTTGGCCTTCAAGAATATATCATACCACAGATCTTAATCCTGACTACTCAGGCTGGAGGAAAATGTCCTAGAACCCCCAGCAATTGTGCAATCAGATATACCAACTTCTCAATAGCTTTAAGTTCCTTGCCAGAGTCTCAGTGCTCACCTGCCTTGTCCAGGAGTACCCTGGAAGAGCACCATGTGCCAGTGGAGAGACAGGGTGTGCGTAGAAGCTCCAGGGTAGGAAGTGAGCCCACATGCCCTGGGACTTTGAACTTAAGACAGATGCCAGTTGGGATTGGTTTAGAGTCAATACCTGCCTTAGCCCAAATTTCCTCCAGTTCTGAAAGAATCTGCCTCCTTTTCTTTGAAGAATTCGTTTTTTCCATTGTTCATGGCATGTCAAATATTTCACATGTGACAAAGAGGATCCTCACCTGCCTAATACAAGGTGAATATCTGGCTTTGACTAACTCAAGTCAGTTTAGGTGCACTCATAACATTCTATAAGGTAAAGTTAACCTCTAGTGGAAGGGACATGCAGCAAAAATGAAACTTTTCTCTCACCTTCCTGGATAATTGTCCCTCCTGGTATACCTTAGTGTTCTGAAATGTTACAAAAGGCATAATGCAAGTCATGGCACTATACTGAGAAATCGTTTAATAAGTTAGTATTACTCATCCATTAATGATTAATGCTAGCGTTTGAAAACTCTTGTAAGCAGAGCTTTTCTAGGCTCTCAGGCTTGTTACACATCAGATTCCATGTTCACTACACATTTGTCCTCTTCAAAGAGTGCAGGCAGGGGAAGGCATTTGAGGAGCCTGTGGAGTCTCCTACTTTCCATTGAAAATAACACTTCCCGTGCTGCTCGCTTAGGAGTCAGCGGAACCATGTGACCAACCTAAACGTGATCGCACTGCCAGCCAATCGCAGAGGGCAGAAAGGCCAATCCCAGTTCACACCCTCCGGACAGTGGCAACTAAAGGGCAGGGGCATTCGGAGACGTAAAAACCCCAGGCATTGCCCGAGAGGCTCCTTGACCACATACTTTAAAGTTCGCTCTCACTTCAGGAGCACGTGACTGCAGGCAGGCAGGGCCCCTTAAGCCACCTGGCTACTGGAGCTAGGGGCTCTGGAATGGGTGTTTCGGGCCGGGGCGGCTTTCAGTCCCAATTCCCCGCAGCTGGCAAACAAGCCCCTTGGCGTCACATCTGAAGATCACTTCTGGGACGCGCTAGGATTCTGACTGAGTCCTCTCAGAAGGGCTTCCTGTCGCTTGTCCAGGAAAGTTATGAGGCCCCAAGTGGGAATGTGGCTGAAGACCAGGCAGGGCCCCCAAGACCCTGCGGCAGACTCTAGGGACCCGACAGTAGTCACACCGCCCTTCTCAACAAGACAGGGCCACACACTCGCTCTCGCGCTGTTCCTTTGATTTATTGTTTAGAATGAAGGCTAATTACAGTCACTAGCCTAGGACTCAATTCCTCTCGAGGAAACGTCAACGGGAAGGAGGATCAGCAAACTAACCTGATTAAGTCTTCGTTCCATTCCCCCTCCCCATTCAGCTACACGAGAGACCCGAGAGGTTTCCAAATGCCGCCCGAGGCGTGGAAAAGGGAGGGGAGAAGCACCCAGAGGACAGTCCTGCGTAAAGCCCGCTCCTCCCCTACCCCGCACGCCGGAGAGGCGGCCCCGCGCCGGGGGAGACGCAGTCTGGATGCGCAGACTGCGCACTGCCCGCGGCTCCGCGGAGCCTCCCGGCTGCCGCCCACCGAACGTGCGCCCGCTCACGGCCGCCGGAAGACTCCGAACCCCGGCCCGCACCTGGCGCCCCGCGTCCCCGGAGGCCCTCACCTTCGCCCACCGTCCGCTCCCACACTCCCTGAGGTTCGAGGGGCGCGCCCCGGGCCGCCGCGCACGTCTCGGCCCTCTACCTCCTTCCTAACACTCCGCCTGGCAGAGGAGGCAGAACCATTGTTCAATGCTCAGAAGCCCACATACCTCAGCCCCTGTCAAGGGGGCGAGAAACGAGGCAAAGCAGCGGCTTTGGGGGAGGCGGTGTGAGGGATCGAAGACTAGTTCAGGCGAGGCGTCAGGACACCCCAAACCCCACTGTTCCCCAAGCCCGGCTCCCTTTAGCCGCGGCGCTGACAGCTCAGAGGCGCCACCACTGAGGGGAGGGAGAGAAGGCGAGAGAGAGCCGAGAGGCGCCTCCTAGGAGGCGGGTGGGCAAACGGAGACCTGCGCCTCGGGGTCTCCCGGTGCCCCGGCTGGCTCCCGGCCGCCGGCGGAGGGGCGCGTCCTCACTCACCGGTTCCGGTGGCGCCGCTCTCCCAGGGCGCCCAGCACAGCGCGAGCAGCAGCCAGAGCGCCCAGCGCGCGGACGTGCCCATGGTGCCCGCCTGGATGGTGCCGCCGCCGCCGCCGCCGCCGTTCGCTCCGCACAACAAGTTACCAGCCCTTCCGAAAGGAGGAAGAAGGTGGGGGCGGGGAGGGGAAAGGGGGAGAAGGAGGGGGAAGGAGTTGGGGGGGAAGGGAGCGGGGAACAAGAGGGCACCCCCTCCCCTACAACTTGCACAATCTCCTCCCCACCAGCCAACCCACCCACCCATCCACCTCCCCGGGCTGCAGCAGCAGTGCAAGCCGAGCCTGCGGGCAGAAAATAATGCAGGCGCTGCAGAGGAGGGGAGGGAAGGGGAGGGGAAGGAAGGGAGAGGGGGTGGGGAGCCAAGAGCAGAAGAGAGGACAGAACAGAGAGGAGCCGGTAGCGGAGCACCCACACCGGCGGCGGCTGGAGCTCGGGGTGAGGAGCTGGGAGGGGGCAGGAGGGGGAGTGGTCAACGGGAGGCGCGGCGGGCGGGAGGGAGCGCGGCGGCTTCAGTCCTCCTTTCCCTCGACGCGCTCCTCTTACACGCGCCGGGCAGCTGGGTGCCCGCGCCGGGAGTGTGCGAGTGTGAGCGTGCGTGCATGAGTGACCGTGGTCGTGGCTGTGGCCGCCGCCGCCGCCGTCGCCACCCGGGCTGCTTTAGGGGCCCGGCTGCTCCGCGAGGCCGCCTGGAGCTCACTGGGGCCCGGGGCGGCCGCTGGTTGGCTCGCGCACCGCCCTCGTCTCCAATCCCCGGTGCCTGTCCTAATTTCCTGATCCAGGGAACCTGCCGCCGCAGCAGCTGTGCGCTCTCTACAGTCATTACTGTACCCTCCCGGCAGCCGCCAGCAGAACATGCAGCAGCAGCAGCAGTTAGCGCTGATGCAACTATCTTTGCTATTGCCACTGCCTCCCCACTAACGGGGCGTGCACCTGGGGGGTACTTGCAGTTTCTAGGGGCAACAATCATCTCTCTACCACCCTCTCCTGCGCCCCTGAGAGAGGCTGGTAGGTAGCATCTTCTTCGGGCCTCCTCTCTCCACTCAGAAAGTGATGAAGCTGAGGGGCTCCAAACGTTTGGGGCGCTCAAATGTGGGGTTTGGGATGTCGGTCTCAATCGCACGCTGAGATGCCATTTTTCTAAAAACTAAATGTGTCTTTCAGTGAGAGAGTGTGTGTGTTTGAAAGAAAGAGTGCGCGCGGTTGTGACTGCTTCTCTGTAATAGAACAAGACTAAAATAACCCAGCCTGGGATAAGGAGAAGGGAAATTGCTAGCGCAGCTTTGCGTTTGCTCATCAACGATTATAGTTAATTGCTAATTGCACAAAATGATAGTTTGAGGGCCTGTAATTAAAAGCTTAACCTTTTCTTGTTTGGAAGAGACGGGCCCCATACGTTTATTCCTCTTGATATACTTTGTAACATTCAATTACAAGAATCGAGGAAAGAATAAAGGAAGCAAAGGCAAGACTCCTAGAAAGGACTGATTCTTCTTTTGTGCCTGACAGTACCTGAGTCTATAATTTGCTTTTTGTGTACTTCAGTTTTCTTGCACACTTAGCCCTGGTTGAGGTGCATTGTCTGCTGTGGTCTGCTAAGCATCTAACCAGAGTGGGAGGGCACATTGAGCGATTTCACTTTCTTAAATAAAAGGTTTTTAGGTATTTTTAAAAAGTTGTTTTTATCTTGATTCAAACTTGGAAGATTTCAATAATATCATATTCTGACTCTATTCTGTTGGTGATCTGAAGAGTAGTGGGCACTGCCTCACTGTCTTCTCCTTGCCCTGGTTCTTGTGGAAATTTGTCAAGGCTAGCAATCAGGGGAGATGTCTGTTAGGAACTTACTATATCCAGGAGACACACAGGAGAGGAAAATTCCAAGTCAGGATATGTTTCTGTGGGACCAAAGATATCCTGATTGTGACTGCTAAGCCTGAAAGGGCTTAACTCTAGGTATGGAGGGGATCTTGCACTATAGTTCATTTTGAATGCTATTTTGCCCACCCTGTGGTTACATAGTTGATACAAACTGCAGCAGTCACACAGGTTGCATGTGAAACAACTAAAATTTGTTTTTATGACATTTAGTAGTGAAGATGCATGCTGGTGTTATTCACCAAACGGCATTGAGATGTGATGGGAAAACCTTAGTGCGTGATGTCTTTCATATTCTCAGGGTTCTGAAATGCCATCTGATGAGCTGTCGCTGTACACAAGAGGAAAGGAGTAGAGGGGATGGGTGGAATCAATACGAAAAGAGGCAGCATTAATAAACAGTCATATGACTTGATTTAATACTTTTCTCAGAGATATAGGTATACTACAAGCTATACATTGATATGGTATAATAAGACTTATCTTTGAAAAACATGTGTACTTTCTAATTCTCCAAGGGATATAAATAAACTTTCACTGAACTTAGCTGCAGCTCTATGTTCAATCCTGTAACTTTTTTGTTGACTCAAAATAAAGCGTTACTTTTGGCTCCATCTGTGATCGACATATAACTTGGTAAAAATCACTGTGCCTGTCTGTGTCTGCCTGTTGGCCAGTAAACTGAAAATAAAACCGACCCACATTATATCAAAGTGCTCCGTGGCCTCACGGACCAGCTCTCTGCAAGGCATTGTTTATTAGAAGAAAAAGGTTGTATGGAGAAATGCATTTGATTATGATAGAAAGTAGCTAATAACTAAAAAGATAAATTGATAAGTGGAGATGGAAGTGGTTGAACTAACTGAGCTAATTGATCATAAGTGGAGACTGAAATGGTTGAACTAAGTGGGTTCAGATAAGTTGACACTGCTGGATTCCTGATGCCTTCAGGTAAATGCAGAGGCAATCCCATTCCCTCCTACAATCCACCACATTCATTTATTTGTTGAGGCAACACATACTGAGCATCCCTCGCTAACAGGCAATGTGCAAAGTAGTGGGCATACAGAAGTGCTTATCTAGGAAGCTCAGCATCTGGTAGGGGAGGCAGGCAAGTGGGCAATTGTAGTACCCTATGTATAGCACTCTGATTAAGAGATGCTTAAAGTGCTGTAAGATTGCAGGGAAGAAGCAGCTATTCTGGCTGCAGGATGAGGGTATCAGAAAAGGCTTCACAGAGCGTTTGTTTCCGAGCTTTTTTCATGATTTTTACCCAGTAATCTGAATTCTCCCTACTTCTGGACACATGGTAGGATTGGACATCCTGGCCCCCTTATGGTTGGATGGGGTCGAAAGACTAACTTTGGCTAATTATTTGTGAGTCTAAGTTACAGGGTGCCACTTTCAGACTGGAGCATTTAATTGCGTATAGGAGACACTCTCTTTTTGTCTGCATGGTGACAAGAAATGTTTAAGAGGTGGCTGCTGCATTAGTCCAGGTCTCTGAGTGATTAGATTCATTTAGAACTACCCATGTGAGTAGTTCCCTGCTGTCTATGTGTCTTTAGCAATGTTCACATAGAGTAGAGGTTAGCAACCTAGGGCTCATGGGCCAAGTCTAGCCAGTCACCTGTTTTTGTATGGCCTACAGATAAGAATGATCTTTACATTTAAAAAGAGTTTTACAAAGAAGAGGTATAGTGTGCAACAGAGACTGTATGTTGCTCACAAAGCCTAAAATATTTACCATCTAGCTCTTTAGGAAAAAAAACAAAAAACAAAAAACAAAAAACTTGCCATCCCCTGACAGAATGGGTGAGAGAGTAGTAAATCTTTGTCATCTTCACCTACTGAGATTTTGTTACCTCAGCATAACCTAGTGTTAACCTGACTGATACACTAGGGGAAAAGGGAAGGAAAACCATGGTTAGCAGAGGGCACAAAGCCAAAAGAGCAGCATGTATTCAAGGCAATGGAAGGGATTCAGGGTGGTTCAAGGGTGGGGTTCAAGTGGACTAACAATGTGAGGTAAGGCTGAAGAAGAAAGGCAAGGACTGGATTAGCTGGAGTCTAGGGTGTCATGCTAAGGCTTTGGATTTTATCCTATGAACCATAGTAAGAACTTGTGATAGATTGTCATCAGAGGCTTGACATCCAGTTTCTTTTACTCTGACAGTGGTATGGAAAACAACTGGTTTAGGTTGTGGGATAGAGTCAGACTAGAGGAAGAAACATTAGTTAGAGGCCCCAGTAGTGAGGGAGTGCATTAAAGAAAGTAGAGGAGGCCGGGTGCGGTGGCTCACACCTGTAATACCAACACTTTGAGAGGCCGAGGCAGGCAAATCACTTGAGCTCAGGAGTTCAAGACCAGCCTGGGCAACGTGGCAAAACCCCACAAAAAATACAAAACACTAGCTGGACATGGTGGTGCGCACCTATAGACTCAGCTACTGGGGGTGGAGGGAGGCCTGAGGCAAGAGAATTGCTTGAGCCCTGGAGGGTGAAGGTGCAGTGAGCTGTGATCATGCCATTATACTGCTGCCTGGGTGACACAGGGAGACCGTGTGTCAAATAAAATAAAAATAAAAAATAAGAGGAAGAAACTACTGTTTGATTAGTCAGAAGCATTCAAATAATTCCTCCATGAGATTTTTCTCCTTGTTTTTTTGGCTTTATCTCTTTGACGCATTTTCCAAACATGTATAATCCATGTGTATCACTGGCTATGTCTGCTAAAAGTACAGATTCTCAGGCCCCTCCCTTGATGATCCTTTTTCAATTGGTCTAGGGTAGAGCCCAGGAATCTGTATATGTAACCCTATTTCAGTTGGTTCTTAGAATTAGTCATGATTAAGAAACTGTTTTAGAGAATGACTTCTTCAATGCCAATTAATTGCTAAGTAGGTTTACTTCTATCATATTTGTGTAACTTAATTTGTCACATTTCTCCTAAGGCAGTAGGTTAGGATCCATCAACCTTAGGGTTGATGCTTGTCATTATTTTTCTTCAAGGTCCTTAGACTAATAATATTGGCATCAGAAATAATCTTCAAACCAATTTGCTAGTTTGTAGTACTCATCACTGTGATTTCTACCCCACAGCCTCAGCATAAAAAGAAAGGAGTGAAATGAGCTGTCCTCTTCTAGGGCCATCCCCTTCTGAAGTGTTTCAATGGTAACTTCCCAGGCTTCATTCCATTATTTTCTAACTGTGTGACAGTCCAGGAAAATGAGTGG